TTAAGAAACAATTTTTTAATTTGTTCCAGATTCAATCCTACGACACTTACACTGCGTGCCGCGGAGGACCTCAAATTTAACCAGGCTCGCGGAAACTGCTCTACCGCCGCCATTTTTCAACTTTTTGCTGCGAAAATTTTTGTTTAAATACTTCAATACATGCTTAAAAACATCCTTGAATATTATTATTTTCTTACCCTTCCTTGCACCGAAAAAAAAATCGTAAAAATACGCTTCTTTTTCACAAGTTACAGTGGGGTAATCCCTTAAGTTCGCGCTTTTGTTCAATAATACGGCGCGCGTTTGACTTTTAATTCCTCTAGGGCACGTAGGATTTAATTTACGAGCTTCTAGTTCCGTGGTCCCAGGTGCAAACCGACGAATCTGTTTTCAGCCGACGTCAAAGAGCCAACCAGTCTCCAGTACATCGATCCGGCGATGATCGGCGTTCTTGTTGGCATGGCACTGATGTTCGTCATCATTTGCGTCGTTCTTAGACTTTTCAGCAAGTAAGCAGAATCAGTTCGTTATAATTTATAATCGCGCGCATCAAAATAACGCGTGCATAGACTTCGATTAAATTTGCAAGTCCTTTTAAATAATAACGCAACTCAATTTCAATAAATCTCATGCATATTCAGTCATAAATAATTAAAACGTTAATTTAAGTTTAATCGTAGGATGGAATTAAAATTGTACCCTAGTGACAACTTTAATTGAAGCTGTCCGGATTTGAATATAGATATTTAGCTCGGATAATTGTTGTTTTATTCGAGGAATTGCAATATTGACGAGTGTTCGGTAAAATAATTGCTTATTTATAAAATATTTTATATAACACCCAGAATAATAACGTTTTTCAAAATATTGTTATATTGGCATTATATTTGGCATTGTGTACGTGTTTTTGTTGGGAATAATTTGCTGGACAGTATTATTTTATGGTATTATTTATCGCGGGGAAATGAGTTTGCATATATAAAACGTTTTAGCGTTTGCAAAATCAATCTCAATTTTACTGTTGCTCAATTATTTGTACATATCTGCTAATATTGTGTTTCCAAAACATTAAATATTACGTTTCATTATCTCTTTTGTAAAAACGATTATAATTATTTGTGCGCAAAATAAAAAAATTATAATTTTCAAAACTAACAAGGGGAAGGCCAGGTCAGTGCATCACGGATCTTGATCCCAATTTTTTTGGTAAAACTAGAGGTAAATTAAAGATATAGTGCATATGTTGCAATTTTTTTTAATACATGTTTTTATTTTTTTTCATTTTTTATTACTGATATAGTAATGTACGACTTTTTTACATAAAAATTTGTATTTTTTCCCAAGCATTATAATCGATGTTGAATGAAAGAAATATATTGCTTTTTATTATTAAATATTGAATTTTATTATTTAAAAATTTATTTTTCGAAAATTCTTACTCGAAAACTAAGGCCCACATTCAATCAAACGCTCGGACACTCGGATCTTTATTTTACCTCTAATTTCATCATAAAAATTGAGATCAGGATCCGTGATGCACTGATCTGGCCTTCCCCTTGTAAAATAAAATTATTACTTACTATTAAAATTAATTGAACTCAAATTTTTGTAAGTCTTACGAAATAAGAACATTTCAAGATATTGGAAAATTTCAAGATTCGCTGCATAAGAATTTAACTATTGGCAGCAAGTGGAAAAGATTATTCACGCCGCGAACAATTGATCTGCTAATTATCTAACGTGATGTGGAATTGCAGGGCTCGCTGGCGAGAGAACCGCACTATCTTTAATACGCCCAACGCGCGACTGATGAACGTTTCGCTGCTGAGAGAGAACAAACTTTTGCACACTCAGGAGAGACGCGGCTCCAGGGCGAGCGTACGAGCTCCGTCGAGGCAACCCTCGATGGCGTCCTTGAGGGCCCACTCGCCGACCGCCTCGCAAGGTGCGAAACACTCTCACCAATCACAGCACAGAATGAGCCGTACGGGTTTTTCATTCACTTACTAAGCAAGCAACTTGTTATATTCAAAGCCCTGTTCAAATAGAGCAAGCGACTCTCTCCTGTCTGTTTCGCGATATTTCCGGTGCAGCCCTGTGAAAATCGATGAGTCCAACTCTAATGATTTGCAAGTTAACTGAGATAACTGAGGAGAAAAATTTTTCATTTAATTCAAGGCACGTGAGCACGCGCCCGCGTGTTTGTGTGTGTGAATGATTATACGAGAGTCGTGATTAAAACATGTATAATTTTATTTTTTAATATTTTTATATCATATTACTACTCGCATTTATATTACTGCTATTTACATATAAGCTGTTATTTATATGTTTTTTCCTGTCTCGAAAATGTTTTATTAGTTTTATACAAAATTGCGTATACTGCATAATTAATTCACTATAAATGCGACGTTTTTCAAATCTCGGATTCGTATTTGCCAAGTTTAATGGTTTTATAATATTAATTACAATATAATATATATGATATAATTACAAAAGGTTTTATTAATTTTCTATTCTATATTCAATTTATTTTGATCATAATTTTGATATGTCTACACATTTACAGAATTTACAATCAATTAATAATATAGAACTTTAATATACCAAGAATATAAAATTATATGGTGCTCATTTATATTTTCAATATTTTGAATCTTATAGTTACAATTACATTGATTTTTTTTTACTTAAAAATTATTTGGTATTAAAAGTTAATTTACATACTTTTTAAAGATATTTTTCCTTTCCGGAAGCTTTGTCAAATTTCGAATTTTTCAAAAGATTGATGATTGGCAAGCCATGTTATAGTAATTTGCATAGTAAACTTGTAATGTACGTAAAAGCAAATTTGCATATTATTTTCCCTCGACTTAATCAAGTTTCTACTACCGAAGGGATTAGGATTCCCCGAACACGTTTATAGATAATGATTGCGTGGCTCGTATGTGATCACGTAATTTGATTAGATTGCATAAGCATCACATAAGTACTCCATCATACTCGATCTACGAGGATTTCGTTTGAAAGACAGGACTTGGAGTGCATCGATTTTCACAGGACTGCGTATGTATGTTATACATACAAGTATCCATATTTAAGGGTGACTATTTACCTACCTGTCTACTTTTATGTAGAAGAGCTCTTTTTACGCTCCTTATGGTGCAGAATCTTCTTGTACTTTACGCATGTACAGCCGCCTGCCAAGAGGGTAGCTAGATCAAATCGAGGAGTTATTCTTTTGCCACCGTTGAGTTGTCCTTCCGCAGTAACATTTTTAACATTGTTGTTTCAGTTACAATCAATTTTTAAAACAAACTTTTCAGTTGTACAAATAATATCCGAATTATTACATATTGTGCATAATATATATATGTATATATATGTATATCGTCATTTATTCTTTAAATTAAATTCGCGTTACGTGACTAGCAATGATAACTATATGAATGATATATACATATACAACTATATTCAGTATAATTTCATATTCATGCAGTTTATTAATTTGATTTCAAGTTTAAGTTGGCACAAGCGATTTACTTTGATTTATTCAAGTAATCGTCAGGATATATTTTCTAATGAACTTAACTCTCTTTGCAGTCAACTTTAAAGTAGTTGTCCTTAAAAAGATCTCAACTGTAACCATCGTTTTTGATCTGTTCTATTGACTGAGGCGCTCTGTTGTAAAAATTCTTCCGATGCGACATGATTTCTTAAGAGGGCAAATCTAATTTTGTTTCCTGGCAATTTCATTTCTACATGCGATCTGTTTTGCAAAAAATAAATCAAACACAAGTATACGAATAAATAGACTAAAAGTCTACAATCTTATACAATTTAGTGTTACGCACGCCCTATTGAGGACACGTCGCAACTTCAGTTTAGTAACTTGTGAGTTATATACTAGAGAAAGTTTCTTGTAAGCATATAGTTTATATTGAAATTTGAGAATATAGTTGCTTGCTATAGTAAAATATCGTTGTTTGCATCTGCACGATAATTCGTTCATAGAGACATCGCACATTCATCGATAGTAACTACATAGAGAAACATTTGAATAAAAAGAAGCATAGATACATACAATATCACAAGAGGGAATAGAGAAACATATTTTGAAATAAATAATTAAATAATTATTAAATAAAATAATTAAATAATTTTAAAATGTTATCGTATTTACTTTTTATAATATTGTTATACATTGCGTTGATTATAAGAGAAATTGAAAAAGGTTGTCTTTTTTAATTGGGTTTATGCGCATTTATTGAAAAAAATTCTCTTATTTCCTCTAACGAGAAGTAAAGAAATAACATGGTAATATTAATAAACTGTCCAAATTTTGATTCGTGCAAAAGAGCACTTACATTCGTGTGTTGACGTTTTTGCACAAAGTTCATAAAGTTCATACTAATGCATTGAGGCATAATCATTAAACTTGCAATAATCTCATTAAATTCAAGAAATCATTAGACTTGTCAATTTAAGTTCAAATAGTAAGATTAAAGGAGCCTTTTTTCATTTTATATTCAGACATTGAAGATTATTTACTTTTCAGATAGAATTAGCTATTTAGCTAATTAAAATAATGCAGAGTTTATCTAATTAGAGTTAGGTTTAATTAAAATAATGTACAGTACGAGATTAAACTTCTCCGTAAAATTCTTCATACAGTTTCAATCAATTGTACATAAATTACTGTATTATAGGAACAAATTGCTAGTTCTTGATTGCTAGTTATTGTTTTAGTGCTTAAACCGAAACATTGATTTATGAAGTTTGATAATAATTTACAGCGCTCAAAATTGTACAATAAATGTGTTTTTTGAAGAAATTAATTAATAAAATTAGTATCTGTAGATTTTTGTGAGAAAGGAAACGTTTCATTTATAACGAAAGATTTCATAAACCGCATTTTTGCCTTTCGAGCGTCGAGGCTCCTTTTTTCGCTGTAAAAAAATCATGTAGCATGCTTCATATTATTATACCATGCCGCATACCCACACACACACACACTGACACACATACACACACTGACAACCTGACTACTGATACACATACACACACACACACACACACACACACACACACACACACACACACACCCACACACACATGCGCACACGCATTCAGACACATGCATTCACCCGACGTTGTGACGATTGACTACTTTGCTCTGACTAATGCATTTCTTCCGCGCAGGTCTTCATGCTTAAAGTTATTCTGGCTTTTCGTGTCGTGCTGCCGCTCTGTCGTGCCAAAGCACGCGATACTTTAGCAAGAAAATCTCTGTCGCCAGGGTCACGCACAGGATCGCGACGTGGGAGCCGCAACAGCAGCGGGAACGCCTCGGCCGCCTCGGTGAAATCGAACAAATCTCCGAATCATACGAACAACGTCGCCGACCCGCTCCTGGAGAACGTCACCGTTGAGATTCCCGACGCGAAGGCATAAGACCGCCTCTAGCACAAACGATCCGATCGACACAGAGCACACATTCCCGTTTGTCACTAATAGTCCCGCGTAGATTAACGCGCGGCACTATACATCGCATAGATCGCCGTCCGTATACAAATAAATCTTCAACCCGCGTGTATAAATTGACTCGCTCGGTCTCCACGTTTCCGTTTCAACGGCAGAGGAACGAAAATGTAACGTTCGATAATGCAAATATCATTGGTAAATACTTCGCCTATAGATAAATCGCGACGAAATACCGACGACTCGAGCCCGCCGTCGAGGTCGAAATATAAATTATCAGTAATTGGGATCGCCTAAGTACCACTCTTTAACAGTAGCAGGAGAACCATCCAGTTAGATTAATTGCGCGGAGACTTCTCAGCGTGTCTCTCCCTCTCTTTATAATTCGATATTCTACGTATCTATTGTAATAGAACGTAATTGAATGATGTTAAGAACATTGATTTTTATTTAACTCTCTTATTTGCTGATAGAATGTTAAATCGGAAAGCTCAGAAATAGAAAAGAGACACATAGTTCATTACAAAATACACTCTCAGTAATGAAACGCCTATTATGCTAGTTTTAGCGGTAACAGCTGTGAAGAAAATTGGACGATTAGTGCTCGTATAATAACAAAAGAAAATTTGAATTAATTGTTCGTATTAGTTCGACGGAATGTTAACGAGTCGTTTTGAGAACAGAATTGTTTAACAAAAAAAAAATTGATTCGCACACGATTCGTACACGCGACTCAATTTACATTTAAATTGTAAAACGTTGTAGAAGATACTTTTCGAGAGAGACTCTGAAGAACGTTACTAAAAAGAGGAAAAAATAGTCGGTATAGTGCTTAAAGTTGAAAGAGATGGAAATCATCATATCTCTTTATACTGTGACAACGTAATTCTGTTGCTCGTCTAACTATATAAATGCGGTTTCTCGACCGTACGCTTCGTGACAGCAGTTTCAATCGTTTTCAGATACCAAAGCGCACCAACGTGAAAATTGCGGCGGTGGACAATTATATCGAAACACACCTGTAACGCGAACGCCTTTCGGACCAAGCGACTTTAGTACCGCATTCGATTGTTTTATTTTAACGGGAGTGCACGCAATGTATGTCACAACGTAATTGGCATCATTTGCGTGTCCAATGTATGTACATCAGAATTGTATAGAGAATGATACACGTACTCGCAGAATATCTCGCGAGGGAGACATGGAAAGAAAACGTATACAGTAACACGGTCCGTTAATGAAATTGAAAAACTGAAGAATTGCGATTGCGATTGACTGTAAATTTTCGGTCCATATGCGGCAGCCATTTTCCCGTTATTATTAAGAGAAAAGTATAAGCAAGCAGAATATGAAGCGATGATAGTTTTCTTCGGCTAACCAGTCGGACTCACAGTATATAGATCACATTAGCGATTGAAGCGAGGACAAGTCATTCACAGTGTCGATGCTCCGATGATCGAATGTTATACGATCAGACGCGCATGCCTTTTCCCTGAAAGTTTTATTTCGATGTGTGACGCCGCGGCATCGAGACGCGGCAGGACGACGGTCGCGGGATCAAACAAATTAGTCCTCTACATCGAAGGCGACGCTGCGGCTCGATTGGCTCGCGACAAGCCAACGCGAAAGGGACCAGAGGAGAGCGCGACGCACGCGTTTTCGCGGAGGTTGCGAAGGTTGAGGGTTGCGAGGTGCGTCGCCGGATTCGCGCTAAGACGGTGCCACGCGGCGGTGATTAGGAGTTCTTGACGAATATTAAGCCACATATACAATCATAAGCGTAGCACTGAATGATAATCGCATCAATTAAATGTAATCAGCACGAGTAGACGACATTTCCTTGAGGTGCGCACAGATCTCTCATTAGAACGGAGAAAGGTAGTGCTTGAGAATAAAAGTTTTCTCTTAGAAAAATCTTTTCAAGTTCGAAAGTTTTTCTCGCCTATTTTGGAGAGTTTATTATAATATCCACATTAAATATTGGCGGAGAAAGCTAGGATACGTTAGAAAATTTGAAGGAAAAACATGAATAAGAGAAAGAGAAGAAAGAAAAAAAGTTCCTTTTAAACAAGTGTATCTTATTGTAAAGATATATGTATTATCATCAGAAAAATCGGAGAAATTGCAAGATTCAGAAAGATCTCTAAGGAATTTTAGAGAAACTTTACTCGAGGAACTTTATTCAAATAAAAAATTTTCCGTCTCTTTTGAAAACTTGTAGCTTGTCGTTTTACGGCATCTGATAGAAGTATAAAGCACTGCAAGTATTTATATCAAATTAAACGGGCGACTAAAATAGAATGACCAATAAACACGTATATTTCTAGTTCGTTTCATATATATATATATGTATTGCGATGACATTTTGGCATTTAGAATCAATATTCTAACGGGACAGAATCGTCTATCTTCTCGCAGCCAAACTTATCGCTAACGCCGAGCTCGAGAGCAATTAAATATACAACCAGAATTCGACATTCACGTTCGTGTATTGATAAATAGATTTGATTCATTCAACATGAAAATGGAAATGTACGTCGAGCTCGATGTTGACGCCGACAACAGCAACGACTAGCGGAAGTTTACGGTTTTCTCCTCATTGGTGACGAGAAGCAAGAGGAAGAGAGGTTGGAGAGATAGAAAATATATATTAAGAGATACATAATTCTTTAAAGTAAAGAGAGGCATCAAAAGCTGAATCTAGTTTGTAGCGGTCCAAAGAAATACGCATATAATCCACAAGAAGTTTTAAGATTTAGAGTAAGTATTTTAGGATCATATTTGGGAACGTTGCTAATTATATCATAAGCTTTGTCGTTTAAATTGTCGCTATTATTGCCACCTACAACTCCTCTCTTTTCGGCGTTTCATCTCGTCAGATTTCGCCCACGCGACGCATCTCGATCGCTAGAAAAATATTTTTAGCTCGCTTCGTTGAAAAAAAAACACACAACATTGTATTTTACCATTGGCGAATGTTGCGTGTGCACATGTCAGGTCCAATGGAAATCCGTTAAACTCTTGTATGTCCGGCGTTATACGTGGAAAAAAGAATCTCTTTTCGTAGAGCGACCAAAAAGCGCGGTTACACACGACTTTATATGAATATCTCATTGTTAATCGCACAAGAGTATAATATACTCGGTATCTCGAAAGCTTGCAATGTCCGTACGCGATAGAATTGTGAGGGCAGATGAGCGATCGTAGCCCAGTACGATTGTATCTCAACAATTTAGTGCCTGCGCTGTCGCGTTCCTAGAGATAGATCTAAATTTATCGACCATTTATTACGAGTACAGAATATATACATATATATATATATATAAATAAAAAATATATATATATACATTTACACGCACGTATCGTGCGAGAGAGAATCTATAAAAGATATTGATAAATGCGTATATACTATATATACACGATTATTCATGAAAGCTTGGCACTATCTGCACTATCTGTAGATTACTTCTGTAACGCCTAGCAACTGTCTCCACTCTGTGATCCGTGTGCAATACGTAACTGCGATTATTCTCGCGGGCATTATTGTGATTATTAATTGTTACCGTCACTATATAGATATATATTACTATCACTATTATTATTATTATTATTATTATTATTATTGTCATTATTATAGTTGCTGTCGCTGTTATAAATTGCTCTCACGAGCGTCAAGCAAAAAAAAAAACGACTCGCTTAGGGTATTTGTCATCCCGCACCTGACATCGTCCGCGTTTAAATTCGTCACTATCGTGGCATACATGATCCTACGGACCATCCGGTGAATTTTCGAATTCGCGCGCGGATGGTGGGTAGTATACTTTTAACGGGACTCCATAACTGCAGGGATGCGTGCGTGTGTGTATGTGAGCTGAATGATCAGAATTTATATAATTGCAAATAAGAATTTAGGGCGTAAGTGATTTTAATCAGTCGAATCAGTTCGGCGTCACCGTCGAGAAATCGAGACGATCCAGAAACGAAATTCGGGGAAGGTTTCTGTTTCCGGGATCGCGCGATTTCGAGTCGCGACGTCCTTCTTCTAGAGTATTATATAGTAAGGTTAACGAGAGTTAATATGAGCACACTTATACACGAACATATACGATCTATCGATCGCGCAAACTAATCTGCACGAAATCTAGATGGATTTCTCGAGCTTCAGAATAATTTTATCTATAGGATAGTTTGAGATGCTTCGACGAGAGATGCGGATATGATATTCTAAGTACCTAAATATTTCAATCCGATATATCACTTATCAAGAGTATATATATTCGCGAGCAAGTTCGCGCACAGATCTTTTTCTCCACCCTTAAAACAGAGGAAAGAAATATATAAGTAGAAAAGGATGAAAAAGATGGAGCAAAACGGAACAAGCAGAGTGCCTATTCTTTATCTTGAAAACGCTCGCTCACTTTTGTAAGTCTCTAACTCTAACAAGTAAGGAACTAAGTAACATTTTTTGCACACTCTACTCTACTCCTATCTCGACGGAAGCTCGATGACAACAAAGATGAAAACGACATTTTTCTAGTGGTAGATACTTTGTAATGTCGTAAGTGATTTTTTTCCTTGTTTGCGACGGATCGATTTAATTCGATGATAGACGAATAACATGTAATTACGACGTTCTCTTGTTAAGTAATTTCCTTTTATACACGGCGTGTCTCGAAGTGTATAAACAAATATAGTTTTGACTTTATCAACTCCCAAGCATTGTTAAATTCGTTAAACAATATGTAAACGGGAGATTAGACTCTATAGTGGGTTTGCGGTATGCATCTAAAAAGTGTTTTGCATTGCGCATTATATCGCGTGCCAAACCGATTCCACTTCGCTATCATTAATCGATATACGGAATTAATATATATATGTAACTGCCGGAGGCAGTCACGCTCTTTTCAACGACCAAATTAATCGCAATGACGACTGTAGAGTAGAAGTCGAGATTTTCTTGATATCGTAAAACGAGAAATAGATAATGTGTAGACACGAATAATACAAGGAGGAATGGTGCCGTGATCCAAATATGGGGAAGTGTTTGGATCACCGTCCGCGTTCCAAAAAAAAAGAAAAAAAATGTTTCACCGAAAGGATCGAACGCGAAGAAAATTTTAAAACGTAAACTATGCAAATAATCTATTACATTGTTCATTGACCAATTGTATAGTCGCGATTAGAGAAAAATTATCGACTATCATAGAAAAAATGAAGAATTAGTTTCTAACTAGGCAATGCAAAGCTTGGACAATTTCAGAATAAGATACCTCTATTTGATATCGATTAGTTTCGATCTAGTATCCCACGGATGTTCGGAAAGACGCCGATGTGCGTCAGAGATCCCGAAATTACAGACGATCACCGTCAATGATCTCCGTTTCTGCGGGAAACGGCGACGGATAATCGATGCATTTGGTACAAACGCCAATCATTTTCGACGACGAGCACGCGAGTGCGCGATCGTATTTTTTAACGATCTCACAAAAAAAAAACGATTCTTCATCGAGCGCAATGCGAGTAACTGTATAATTTATCTTACGGATTTTTGCGTATCTTCGAACACAGCACGAATATTGTATCACCCAAAAATCGTACTTCTACTTTAATACACAGTAAATGTTAATTGCCGCGCGACATATTGTATCTTGTAAGCCGATGAAGTAAGTTGTTTCTTCTATGTAACCAGCGAGATAAGATTTAATCTAAGCGCTAAAACTGCTTGCTCTCAAGAGTACTATGCGGTGTGTACGTGGTATTAATACTCTATTATTAAGCTTTTTGCGAATTGCTAAAGTTCGTCATAATATATATTATACATATATATATCTTTGAACTCTATGCTTGCGTTTATTATTATCCACAAGATAGATAGAACTACTTCTGTCTGTCTTACCGTTGCTCGAGTAGCAAATCGTCAACGGTACTCACGACACATTGTGATCTGATCATAGGGTATAAATTTTCAACAATACGCGTTCAAAATAATAAAAAGCAAGAATATATACATATATATATATATATATATGTATATATGTATGTATATGTATATAAACTTGCATCAATGACGCGTAGATCACTTCGATCTGAGCGCAAATGCTGATTTATGCGACGAATAAGTTTATGAATAAGCTCTATATATGTTACAATGCTAATTACATTAATAGTCTCTAAGGATATGAAGTGACGGTTTTTAGAACAACCGAAACTCCCAAGGAACTCTCACTTGCATTGTAGGTATCATCGAAAAATTGATACCAGAGATAATTTGAAAGCGCGATAGCGTCGATAGCATATTTAGAAGACACGGTATGAAATTGGGTGCGGGTAAAATATAACGCGAGTCCCTCTTTCTCCAATTTTCAATATTTTATAAAAGGTCCGGTATGTGCAAAAATAAAGATAAATATCGTCAAATTACGTGATCTATATACATATATACGTCGTAATTACCTGTACTAACTTTATTGTAGCGGCTTAGCGTACCTCGTAATCTTTATATCATATACTTTTCATATTATATAGCTTACGACGATCAATGAATCTATAACAAATGTATCTAAAAACTTAATTATATATTCTGACTCTTCAAATTCGTTTTAATAAAATCTTAATACACTGTACAACTTGTATTAATTTAATTTTTCTTTTTAACCATTTTTAGTTACCTGGTAGAGATGGCAAGATTTAAAAATATTGAGATCAGATAAGATGTAAAAAATAAAATCTAGCTATAAAATTAGGAAAATATTAATTATAATAAATAATAAACGATTAATTTGCTTCTTTTCAAATAAAAAATATATTATAGGTGTTGATATTCTTTGAATCACTTTTGTGCATATAATGCACCTGCGTCTGTTCGAAATATAGAAATACGCAGTATTTATTATCTCTATTAGAATTCATTTACGATAAGGAGAGGGATGCATTAAATGCAAACTAATTAAGAAAAAAACTGATCACTTTATACAAATAGTTCTTCGGCTAAAAAGGATAAAGAAAAATATTTACAAAATTGTTACATACATAAAATTTTTCATTTATACGAATTCTTTGCTCGCCAATCCAGAAACTCGTCAAACTCGGCTTCGTCACCGCTTGATGCACCATCATCGATATTTTCCTGCTTTCTATCGGTTCCTTGGACTTGTTCCATACGCTTTGCGAGATCCATTACCCTTTTATAGAAAGTAATTTACAATTGCTATATTTTCTTATACAACATACGCAGACACACATATATATATACATTTAAAATATTTTTCAAATATGAATTATATTAAAAATGTATTTACCTAGACCAATGCCTAATTTGTTCCTCAATTTCGTCCAATTGCCTTTCTGTTGTGGCTTCCTCCTGATCATCAGCTATAATCTGTGCAGATTGCGCAGTCTCTTCCTTAATTTCTTTTTGAAATTTCTCCCATTCTTCTTCAATAGGATCTTTGTATTCAACGTTACGAACCTGAAAACAATAAAATAATTAGATATAGAAATGAAGTATAAACACTTTATACAAGATAAGTTCAATGTTACCGTACTTCAAACGTATAATACTTGGTACAATTCTCTCTCTTCTAAATTGTATACTTTAATTATCTCTTTTTATTTTCATTGATGTTGTATTTGTATTCAGGATTTATTATATAATTTTTTTATTTTTTAAATATAAAATTTAGTAATGCTATAGTTTATCTTTACATCAATCTTACCTTAGCATCCATTACTGGGTCGTCAAAAAACCCCTCTGGAAGAGTAGCTAGATTCGTATCCTTTACTTTTTCTTTTTCTTTCTCTTTTTCCTCCTCCTCCACATGTTGTGTATCCATAGTATGAACTGTGCTGTCTCTCTCTTTGCTCTCTAACTTTTGCATTAGGGCAGACGCACCGTTAACTTGCTTCAAATTATCATCAAAAAAATCTGCTGGTAAATTTGATTTGGCTTGTACTACGGACTGGCTGGAGTTTTTCAATATTCCTTTTATCTTTTTATTCACGGAGGTGTTTTGTGATGGAGAAGGTGGTCTTTTGAATGTTTGAACATTAGGCGTCATTACAGGGCTTTCTGGTTCCAGTTTAGTCTTCTTCGCTAACGCAACATTATCCTTGTGCGCCTTGGAATTCAAGTGAACAGGCCAAACTGTTTCACTCCGCACAACTGACTTGCATAACACGCACATAAGCTGTCCTGAATCTGTGTACGTATTTATCAGTTAAGGATGTCTTCAAGATCAATTATGTCACAAGAATTAAATTATACTGACAACACAATTATAACAAAATATACTTATAAAATAATAGTAAAATATGCATCTGTCAATGTATCTCACTTTATAATCGTGTCAATTTAGTTTTATGATCATATTATTCATGATTGTCAAAGTGCTATAATATGCTATTTAGAGTAAAGTTTTAAAAATTCAATAAATGAAATTTAGATCTAATAAAAGTAGTTTATAATAACAGCTACTAACAATGCATTTTTGACTAATTTTTTAATATAATAATAATATGATCACTTTGAAGTGTGAGAAACGTATGTTAACCTCAAATTGTGCTACAAGAAATATATACATTTAAAAAGGATATTTTGCCAACGGTGAATCGATCTTCTTAACTACACCGAATTTCTTCTTGTGTTCACTCATCGCCTTACGCAGATCATCCTGCGTTAGTTTCCTTTTTAAGGACATTTTCACTCGATTAAATCACCACTGTATAACGAGACGCAACGAATGACTTATAGGTTATGTTTTGATCGCGTTTCGATGTCTTATACCATTGTGAAAGCTACCACAGAGTGCCAGACAGTACCCTGTGCTATAGACACCGCAGACCGCAGTTCCTTATTTAGCTAAAAACAGTAGCGGATCCAAAGAGTTGTTCTGGGGGGGGGGGGGGGAGAGGGCGGAATGACGAAATGTGAATATTTATTATTGTCGTTTATGTTATTTTTAATATTTTTTATTATTTAAAAAAAATTGAGTGAACATTATTTAGTCTCGAATAATCTCTGATAATTTTTTTCTCAATTCATTTTAAATTGACTTTTTCAAATATACGAAATTTGTTTGGAGAGTTCTAGGGAGGGCGATCGCGTCCTCCGCCTCCCTTGTATCCGCCACTGGTTAAAAAGTGTATTACAAAAGTTTAATCTGATGTATTTAATTACTAAAACAGTTTTATGAACATTATCAATTATTAAAACTGCAGTTTCATGAACATTATTAAATTAAACGATTAATATCCGTGGACTGACAATAGAAATCGAAAGTGATTAAATTGACATTTTTTGAAAATTATTAATAAGATTAATTATATTATAATAATAAAAGAAATGTAACAAAATACTTAACAGATTTCCGTGAATCAAAGTTGATTTGTAAATTTTTATTTAACAATAGCGACCGTTTTTATGTAATTTTTTTACAACTAGATTATTTTTTATTTTTTTTATAAGGTATTCATTCTGTTTGTAGAAAATCGATATTAGATGGTTCAATATAGTATATGCATGGAAACGTTTGGTTTTGTTAAACAATGTTTTTTATATTATTAATATACCATATTGTAATTATCTTTAACACTGTGCAATGCTTGCATTTGCCATATACTATGTTTCGTTAAATTTTTCGTCTCTGAATCATTGAGATACTTAATTATAATAATTTTTAAATTTTTAAATTGTATGAATTAATTATTGTTTGCAACAACATAATATATTAATATATAACTCTACATATGAATTATTCTATGACCTGTATCTGTGCATGCTTATAATGATGCACATATTATATACATTTCATATTTGATTATGTTATATATACATTCATATATCTTAATTGTATCTGAAAAATAATATTCACTTAAATACTTTTTAGTTTATTTTTTATATATTATATCTCATACATCTTAAAAATAATGCGCTATAAAATCGAATTTTACAATTCCACTTTCTTTATTTTTCCTAAAAATTTCTAGTAAATGAAATTGTGGATTTTCTAATCAGCAAACAATGGTTTTTAAATATTTAGTTAATATTATAATAATTAATAATATTTAAAAATATTTTACTTAAATATTTATTTAATATCATATAATATTAATTAGATAAATATTTAAAAAATATTGTTTGCTAGTTGGGTGTGATTAACTTTACGTTTGTTTGTTAATTAATATTATTTTCAGGTTAATCCTTTAAAAAAATTGTCTTGATAGTGCATTGCATACCGCTGACTTGAATATCATAATTCTAAAAATCTATTTTGCAATCGTTGGGATTGAGCTGCTCTTCTAACGAATTTTAGCAATCTCCGTACTTATTCCAGATATATAATACATACCATATATATATATATATATATATGGTATGTATTATATATCTGGAATAAGTACGGAGATTGCTAAAATTCGTTAGAAGAGCAGCTCAATCCCAACGATTGCGAGTCGAGTATAGTCAAATCTATCGAAAATAGATTTCGAAGTGTTTGCAAATCTTGTAACAGAAATATAACAAAATGTGAGCAGATTGACTGCAGAATTATTTCATAGTTATATCATTTCATAGTTTCAGTTAAATAGTACATTCCATTTTGTTAAATTATGTCGACAGGTTCTACTGTTGATATAACACAAGCTTAATGCGGCCGTGGTTGTAATGTCAATATTCTGCCGCAATATTCTGCTCGAATCGAATGATAAACTGTTAACATATACTTATGCTGCCAAAACATTTTGCTTATTAGGTATTGTAGTGTAGTAGTGCGTATAATATGGTTCGTAGAATCTGTAACAAGAAGATAACATAAGAGAACTCCAGTTTTCACAAAGATGACTATTTTATAATATGACTATTATGCATTTCTCAACAAAATTAAAGTATCATTTACTCTACCCTCCAAAAATAGGCAAAATTCAAGAGAGTGTAACTTCGTCAAAAATGATTGTATCGAGATGTTCAAAAAAGCATTTTACAGCTTGAAATCTCTACTTTTTAAACCGACATTTTAGAATACGTTGGTATTGATCTTTCATGGAATTACACGAATAGTAAAGGAGACCCGATGAATCTCAAAATTTTTTACGAAATTTGACAAGTTTCATGGTGCGAATTAAAAATTGCATTCAAATGCAGTTTACAGCTTTCGAAAGAGTGAATTTTTACCTTTAATTTCTTTTTTTGTTGAGCGTAATAAGATTTTTTTTCACCGAGTTATTCAACATTAAAGCAAAAAGGACCATTTTCGCTTCAATGTTGAATAACTCAATGAAAAAAAATCGTATAACGCTCAATAAAAAAGGAAATTAAAGATAAAAATTCACTCTTTCGAAAGCTGTAAACTGCATTTGTATGCGATTTTTAATTCGCGCCATGGAACTTGTCAAATTAGTTCGTAAAAAATTTTGAGATTCATCGGGTCTCCTTTTCTATCCGTGTAATTCCATGAAAGATCAGTAGCATCGTTTTCTAAACTGTCAATTTGAGAAGTAGAGATTTCAAGTTGTAAAATGCTTTTTTGAACATCTCGATACGATCATTTTTGACAAAGTTGAATTTTGCCTATTTTTGGAGGATAAAGTAATGCTTTAATTTTGTTGAGAAATGTATATTAGAAAGGAATATTCAAAATAAAGAGAGATAAAATAGAGCAGTTCTGCTATAACGCTAGTTTCTGTATTTTTGTTAAATATTATCCAGAAAACAAAATCTAAAATCTACACATAAGACATTTTTTAATCCTTTATAGACAACTTCATTTTAGATAATTCTTGCAGAAGATATTTAGAAAACATCTTAAAGATGTCTTATAGATCAATTTAAAATTTTATGTTATTTGGAATAATGCGAAAAAAAATTATAAATCCATAGTTCGCGTCTATTCCCAGAGAGGTCTCTATGGCCTTCACGTCATTCCTAAATGCAAATTGAAATTCTACGGCGTTTACTATCACGCGCCAGTTGCAAACATTTGAATTGCTGTGCACGTATTTGAAACTTGCAGGAATTGGGACAACAAATAAACTGCGTTTCGACACGATAAACTTTGGATCTCAGAAATGATGGCGCTTAGTTCGAACCATGGCCACAATCGAAAGCTTGCGTGCATTGTACAGAAATAGTTACGCGAATTATCGCTGTCAAAGTACGATCTAACCATCGATCCCAAGTGATTAAATTTATATGGCTCGTGAGCCTCAAAACGGATCTTTCGTCGTGATTGCGAAGCGAAAGCGTGTTCGGATATCGAACAAGCGTCGCTTAGCGACATTTATATACGTTTAGATTCATATTACGTGTCGTATGATATTTCGTGTAGAGAAATATTTGAAGTTGTTGGAAATAATTTTACAACACTGCAGTGTACGACTTTGAATGTGCAATTTTTGACATTTCTCGCGTCTGTAGTATGAAAGATATTCAAATTGTATTTGAATATTCATATAGATTTTCCTGTTTGTATTGTTTTTAATTTTGACATGTTATTGTTACGTTATAAATTTTTATATTAATTTTTTATTACATGTCATTGATAATAATTTTTGCTGAATTGAACGTCAATTAACATTTTCCACATTTGGAATTACATAATGTATCGTGGACTTGCGCGCGACTTGACGCGCGTATTATTCAAATGTGCCGAAGAGCATAAACAATTCGGCGGATGGAAATAATCATCATCTTTCGATCGTAAGGGCGCTCGCTCGAACGGGGGGTGCGTGCCCGAGCGAAACGGAAAAAGTCGCGGCAAAAGCGGCAAGAGCGATTATCGGGTATAGAGCCGGGGGATACGAATCGAACGTCGTCGGAACGTCGGCAGGTGCCACGACGAGAGGGTTGTTTGCGCGGCGGCGGGGGGGCGCGCGCGGGAGCTTACGAGGAGCGAGTGACGTCACGTGGCGGCCGGCGGACCAATCCGGCGCGAGCATTCTACTCCTGTCAGCCAGTCGGTTTTCCGGCTGCTATACCAGGCGGACGCCATATTGCCCGTGGCCGAGTGGTGGCGGCGGCCGCCTGTGTGTGTTTATATCGTCGTTACGCGGTTTCCGCACGTTTTCGCACGCCGTGTGGACCGTCGCGCCGCGGATTCCCGTCGCTGACGTTACGAAGCGGGTGCGCGCGTCCGCAGAACGTGCGCGAAACGGACGGCCGTTCGGTTGATCGCGACAACAAACAGTGCGCGCGGCATCCCGTCGTGTGTCGTGGATTCTCCTCGCGCGGTGATACTACGCGGACCCTCGCGAAGCGGTTGTCCCGGGCGTAACGTGGAAAGTGACAGATCGCGGCGGGCAGTCGTGTCTCGTCGTTACGCGCGTTACACTCTATCGCCGTCTCTGTCTCCGTCTGTCTCTCTTTGCCTCCTTCTCTCTCTTTCTTACCCGTCGTTGCTCCGTATTGGACCGTTCCGGAGCACCGACAGCTCCGCGTCTGGAAATCGCCGTGTTCTCATCGTCTCTCGTCACCCCCTGCGAAGACTTCCACCCGAGAAGGATGCCAGTGCGTAAACAAGGTGGTAAGCTCGTATATGTCTTACGAACTTTTAATTGTCTGACTCCTCGATTTGGAGCAAAATTGTCGCGGAGTCGCGTGGGAGGGGCGAGCTTGCGGATCGCGCGGGTCACTCGGTCAACTGTCATTCAGAGACGGATCGCATGCAACTCTCTCTCCTCTCCTTTCCGTCTCCGCCGCTTCCTCCCTGTCGCTATCCCGTTGCTTCGATATATCGAATACCGTGTCATCTTGCAATTTACGAGCGAAAGAGAGGAAGTGCATCATGGTGCGCGCGTGTTAACGGGGGTGGTCAGGTGTTCAGGTCGCCGAT